TGTAAAATCTATGTCATGCAGTGAAACTGTGGTTGAGAATACTGATTGAGAAGGATCTAGGAATCTCTCTCTAAATCTAATTGTGCTTTAAATCCGGGGTGTGTATGGTGGTAACACTTCCCAAATCTGTGTTACAGGAATCCTTTTGTTGTTGTTGTCAATTCCATTTAAGGAAGAATGTGCAACAGTTGCAAAACTATCTGAAGAGAGATCCTTCCCAGCTGTATTTGGAAACCCTCCTAACAAACCACCTTTGCCTTGCTCCTCCCTAGACACATTTTTGCTACCTAGATTTAACAGGACCTCCCTACCCATCTCTCCCAACAGAGACTAATATTTTGGTGAGAATTTTCTACCACAAACTTGAAAATTAAAAGAAAATGCTGATAACATCTTGCTGCTACCCCCTCTTTTTTTTAATTGTTCACCTTTAAAGCTTCTTGTGGGGGATGAAACAGAACTATAGGGCATGATGATTTTAGACTATAAACCTTGAACTAGTTTCCGTGTTAGGTAGAATTGTATCAAAAAAAAAAACCAAAAGCTCATGTGGTGTCCAAATGGGATTTTTTTTTTGTTCTTGTTGTTCATTAGGAGGAAGGATTGTAAAAATTTCCACTTCAGAATGAGCTTAAGTCTAAATACCCGCGCTGCAGAATTCAGCCAGCTCGACTGCACTGGTGCAAAACCCAGCGAGGCTGCTCAGCCTTTCCCTTTGGTACGAGAGCTAAAGGGCACACGCTGGGGCAACCTTGATGAGGAGCTGAATACCAGGAAGATTAGTGTTCAGGTTTGTTCCGCAGGTGAAACTCAAAAGCCTGAGGTTTTTAGTGGCTATTGTAAATCTCTTGACACTTATCTAGCGTTAAAGCTGCCCATGGAGTGTCATATAAAACTTATATCATCTTTTTTGTGGTTGTCCGGGTAGGTCTATAACCTCTCTGCCTGCTGGTCTGTAACGTCAAATTATTTTGGTATGGAGGTGCTAGAAATTCACTACATAATGTTGAATTTGCACATGCAGAATGAAGAAAAACAAATACGACCTTAATTTTCTGAATGCATTATCCAGCTCCCTTGATTCATTTCTCTGGAGGACTGAGAATGCCAGTTAATTTCTTTACCACAGTTACATTTTCCAAAATCTTCGAAAGACTAATCAGGAGCTTGTAGCTAATATTTGCGGTTTGTTTGGTTTTCTGCTGTTGTTTGAACTGCTTCCAGTATGTCTAGCCAGTGACATTTCCTCATCAAGCAGAATAAATACCAAAACTATAGAGGAAAGAGATTCGCTGTAGCAAGTGGGAAATTTATTGCATTCTAAATACAAAGTTTTTGAGAGCGATCCCTTCTGTCACTTCCATGGACTAATGCTGAATTAATTATTTTACTATTCATAAACATGTTTCCAGTCCCATTTAGCTCAGTTTGGAAGACAGACTTACAGATCTCTTTATGCATTTTATACTTTTTTTTTGTATTGAAAGATTGCATGGAAGAGAAATTTTAATCCTATTGGGTTGTTATTATTATTAATTCTTATTTGTGGGACCTCATGACCCTGCATTTAGTCTTGAGGCTCCAAGGTGTTCTATTTATTTTTAGTAAATGATCCTGAGTTGTTTGTAATCTAAACAGGCAAATCAGAATTATGATTCTCATTACATAGATGGAGCACTGAGGCATAGAGTGATTCAGAGTCTATCTATATGAGGCCATTTGGTCCAACTGCTTGCTCAGAACAGGGCTAGCTGCAAAGTTAGATCAGGTTAGATCATTCCTGTAGGCTTTATCCCGTCAAGTTTTAATACCTCCAAGGATGGAGATACTGCAGCCTCTCTGGGCAACTTGTTTCAGTGTTTGGTAACTCCTGTTGTGCAGACTTTTTCCCTCTATTTAGTTAGAATTTCCCTTCCAGTGACTTGTGTCTATTGCCTGTTTTCCTTTTGCTAGGCACCTCTGAGAACTCAGAGTCCAGCATCATCGTCTCTGCAAACACTCTCTAGGTAGCTGCAGACAGCACCTGAGGTTGCTCCTTACCTGGGAGGACCTGGGAGTCCTGGTGGCCATGAGCCAGCCCTGGGGAGGCGACATCCGCAGTGCCGGGTCCGGTGCTGGGCTCTCAGTGTAAGAGGGATGTGGAGCTACGGGAGTGAGGCCTGCGAAGGGCCTCAGAGATGAGCAGGGACTGCGGTGTCTTCCATGTGAGGAAAGTCTGAGAGCTGGGGCCGTTCAGCCTGGAGAACAGCAGACTGAGGGGAGACCTTATCAAGGAAGAGGAGGAGGATGTAAAGAGGACGGCCACGCTCTTCTCAGCAGTGCCCAGTCACAGGACAAGAGGCAACAGGTACATATGGAAACACAGAAGTTCTGTGTGAACATAAGGAAAAGCTTATTCAATGTGAGGGCAGAAGAGCACTGGAACAGGTTGCCAAGAGGCCTCCATCCTTGAAGATACTCAGAAGCCACCTGGATATGGTCCTGAGCAACACACCCCAGGAGACCCTCCTTGAGCAGGGGGTGAGACCACATGATCTCCAATGGTGCCTTCCAACCTCAACCTCAGCAATTCTGTGTTTCTCCTTAGCCTGCAGGCTGACCAAAGCCCTCTCTCATCCTCTCCTGGTTGGACACAGCCCTTCAGTCCCTAACCTTCCTGGTCATCCTTCATTTGGGTAGGAAGACAGTTTTGCAGTGGTAGCTACAGCTGCAAGAGGAGACTTAAGAACAGACATTGGATGATGAGCTAGTTCCAGGATTCAGGAGAGACTCCAGAAGAAATTGCTTTGGGAGGAAGGCTCCCTATATTCAGGGGCATTTGGGACAAGTGCCAATTGGGAGGAGACCACCGCGCTGCAAATCTGAGGGAATCAGCCATGGCGAGAAGAGACAGCCCTCTTAGGGCCAGGGTGTTCAGAGATTTTCCGTATTTCAGATGGTTCATCAGGAAAGTCCACATAAGCCGCGGTCACAGGGCACCTGCTTTGAGGGACATAGCTGGTTCCAGCCTGGCACTCTGGTCTCCTGTCACGGTTTCTGACATGTAAGAGCATTTGCAGTGACATGACCTGCTGAGCTGCGTGGGCTGCTGTTTATTTTGGTTGTTTTTTCCAGTGTGGTGTTGCTTTTGCATTTTCTGCTCACTTTTGGATTAAAAATCCAAATGATGCTGGTTGATACTGGATGGTGCTGGTTGGTTCGGTAAGGGGAAAGGTCAGTATTTGTAAAACGCTTTCTGTTTGGTTCCTTACTTGTTCATAGGACAGCCGTTGGGTTTCAGAGGTAACACCAAGTCCTGCATGGATGCAGGTGAAGGAACTGCACAGTGTCTGTCCTTACGGCCTCTGTGAATTTGTACCCTTGCAAAATTTGTGCTTTCTGTTTATGGGCAGTTTAGCGCTTTGGTCTGCTAGTTCAAGGGGTGTTACTTGAGGGCATATGGAATCTATTACATGTGATTTGTAGATTCTTTGTAGATTTTAAAAACAGTAAGGAATGGGATTTCACAATGTAGGAACATTTTGGCCTAGGAATTAAACTAAAAAACCCTAATTATTTGAAAAATGCTTGTCTTTCTAAAAGTGGAAATGCACAAATAGTTTGTAAACAGTGCAGGCTGTAGGGGTTATATCTAAAGAAAAAGAGCTATTCAGCTGCAAAGCTTTGAGGTCTGGGGTTTCTGCAAAACCTCACAATGACAGGGACCAATTTTTCCTTCTTGGGAACACTGGGGAATCACGTGGATCCATCATAAGGATGAGGGAGGGTTCAGAGACCCACCCCCCCCACACACACACATTCTTCCAGGCTGCTGGTTTTGTTGCCTGGATAGAAAGACACGTTGTGGGAAGGTCTTGTGGTAAACCACTGCTTCAGGAGGGTGAGCTGCAGAGAGCCTTGAAAGCTGACACTAATGGACTTTATCCTTGATAGGGGTACACGGGATCCCAAGGGGGAGGAGGTGGAAGTAATGCAATATCTTTGAAAGAGCACACTGGAAAGCACAAATCTCCGGGTCTGCTTCTATAAATTGGTCACAGCCACGTTTGGAAAGACTGGTCATGGAAAGACTTTTCCAGTTGGGCCCTTTGTGCTCTTTGCTTCTCCTCCGGTTCTCTGCACTCCTAAACCACTTCCCCTTGTATTTCAGAGGCTCCCCTGAAGATGTGGGATGTTTCTTGTTCTATTCTTCACTTGCAAGGTCATCGTATGCTGTGCAGTTGTTAACACCGGCGTCTCTGAGCACCTGGGTGCTGCAGGTATAGATACAGAAAGGAGAAGGAAAAAGTGTTATTTACTGTTCAATATCTATAGTAGGAAAGATTTCACGTCATGATGTCAGTCTCTGCCACTTCCTCCCTGTGGCCCGCATTGCTATTTGTGGCTTTTGCTCTTCTGTGGTTTTAAATCAGCCTGAGGATGCTGAGACCCTCCTGGAATTAGCAGTGTTTCAAATATTTAAATCTAAACACTCCTGTGCCACTCATTCCTGTCTGGTATTTCTCAAATGCGTTTTTTTTTTCATGCTTTTTGTGCTTACCAATAAAATGACATTCTGAGATTTGCTCTGATTAAAAAAAAAAAAAAACTTATAAAACTTCTCAGACTGCTCAGGGTGAAAAGCAGAGCGGGGAGATGAGCGGGGCACCGTGCGTGCGGGTGCAAGGATCACGTTATCCCCCACATTATACACAACGGCCCAGTCACTCGCCCATTAAATCATCCTGACAGAAGCCCCACGCGCATGAAGAGCATTTTCCCTGAAACACAACCGAGTCCCCACATAAAACTCGGGCAGAAGCCCGACAAGGCCGAATGCCGGGGGAGTGCAGGCTTGGATGGCGATGGGAAAACCGATGGTTCTTTCAGTGGAAAAAAAAAAAAAAAAAA